ATCCTGTCAGTCTTTTTCCTTGAAGTGACAGCTCATTTTGTCCATTTTCGAGACACGTCGGCCAAAGACCCAAGCCTGAGTGCCCAGAGCTGCTGGTTAGCGAGCCGGGTGCAGCTGGGCTCCCCGGCCGGCCCGGCGCGCCCCTGCGGCACAAGGGCACGCGCAGCCAGCACACGGCGTGGGAAGGCGGCACTGGAGAGCCAGGACGGCGTGAGACCAGTACGTTTTACTGCGTCCCCTGGGGCATTCTCAAGTGGAGTGGAGTTTTTTACCGTGAATGCACAGCCGTGAACGGAAGAGCGGACCAGCACCGTCTGGTACCACCGCCCTTCCCCGATCCCTGCGAGGGCGCCAGCAGGTTGACCCACGTGTAGATCCCAACACAGAGAGTGCCAAAGGCCAGTGCCATCTTGCCTTATTACTTTTTTTTTAAGATTTTATTTTTAAGTAATCTCTACACCCAACGTGGGGCTTGAACTCATGACCCTGAGATCAAGAGTCGCTTGCTCCACCAACTAAGCCAGCTGGGCGCCCCTGTCTTATACTGTCATTGAAATGAGGGTCGGGGGAAGCCCGGAGCCCACCGCAGGAACAGCCGAGCTGCACACCAGCACTGTCCTCTGTCTGCTTTTCTGTCCCCACCGCCATCCCAGCAGCCTTCCCGACACACTTGGTTTTAGACTCCGTGGTCACAAAATGTGGACTTGTCAGTGGAACGTTGTGACCCCGTTCTAGGCTTTGTTTGCCGATGCACCTCCCTCATCGCTGGCCCTGCAGCTTAGGTCCCTTCGGCAAGCCATGGAGTTAAGGCCTCATCTCCTCATCCGTCCCATGGGAACAATCATTCCCAACCAGGTAAGGTGCTGGCAGCCTTGGAGAACACAGCGTCTGTGGGACCCCTTTGCAAACTACGCGTTTTTTCTTCAGTCCGTCTTTATCATGTGTCAGCACTGTCCATAAATGAGGTCCCTGCTTTATAATAAAAAAACCCTCCGTTCCAGGGGTTGGGATATAATGAAAAATCCAGAGAAAGCAAGAGTGACCATACGTGGCTGGGGAGCTGCTTTAGATGAGGTAATCCGGGAAGGCCTCTCTGAGGAAGTGACCCGGCAGCTGAGAGTGGACGACCAGAGGGAGCTAGGGGTGCAAAGAGCTGAGGAAAGAGCATTCCAGGCCTTTCCACCCAGGAAGCAGAAAAGGCAGGCGGGGCCAGATCAGGAAGCTTTGCGCACGGGGGTGAGCAATCTGCATTCTCCTCCCAGCACGCGGGAAGCCGAGAGAGGACCAGTCCGGCAGGAACAGGATTGGCCTCCACCGGGGAAAGATGCCCCCGGCCACCGCGTGAAGAATCGGCTGCGGGCAGAGTGCGTGTAGGGAGACCGGTCGGCGTGCGGGTCTGGTCGTCCAGACAGAAGACGGCAGCTGCGTGCGCTGGGCTCGCAAAGGGCAGAGACGGAGCGCGGCAGCCCGCGGAAGATGCACTGGGAGGCAGAGCTGGCAGGCTCTACGTGTGAGCCGGACAGGGCCACGAGCAGGGGAGGAGGGAAGAAGGCAGGGTAAATCCTGGGTGGACAGCGTGAGCGGTGGCCGCGTGCTGGGGCGGAGCACACCGAGGCAGAGCGGACGTCCAGGAGCTCCAGGCCCAGGTCAGAAGTGAGGACGGCGCGGGGACGAGTCGCTCGTGTGTGAACCACACGTAAAACGTGAGCCTGGACAAGACCCGCTGGTGAGGGGCCCACGCAGCACAGCGGGAGGAACCAAGATCGCTGTCCGCCAGCAAACGGGTCTAAGGAGGAGGGATGAGACCCCGGAGGGAGACCCGGAGGCGGGTGAGGAGAGTCTCGGGAAGGAGCGAGTGGCCCACGGCAGACGCCGCGGAGAGGTCGCGCAAGAGACGGACAGAGACACGACTTTCAGATTTAGCAACCGGGGCGGCCTGTGGAGGGCGGTCTCAAGGCCAAGCAGGGAGCCTAACTGGAGCAGCTGAGAGAGACGCGAGGGGAGCGAGCACTGTGGGGTGAGCCTTCTACAGCACCTGCGTGACTCCGAGGCACCCACGCAGCTTCCTCCACGGCTGCGTCAAAGCACGGCTTACGAAGCCAGGGGACAATCAGCTGAGAGACCGTCTGGGAAATGGCTCATCATTTTATACCTACGTCCCCTACACACGTGTAGTGCAGCATGTGTGTCCGTGGTTTTGAGGGCAGCAGCTCCCCGCTGTCCCTGATTCTGTCCCACACGTGTGATAAAGACCCATCTGAGACCAACCGTCCCCACGGGCCCACCTTCCGGTGGGAGAACGAACTGGGGGACAACCACGAAGTATCACAGCAAGACACAAACGGGGCCGTGCGGACCTGTCGGCGTTGGCCACAGGCCCGCGGATGGTTCACTCCAAGCTGTAGTTTATGTAAGTCTAGTTATTTGCCAATGACCAGCCCAAGGTGCTACGGACGCGCCTATGAATCATTCACCCTACACAGAACTCACCACACAACAAACTAACTTGGTAACAGCGCATTAATCCAACAGTAGCTTAGGACTTAAAATGCAGTTATGCTGGCATTGGAAAACCAGCACTGACCCAAAACAAAAATCGTGGGAATCCCACGAGAGTGGGCAGGTGCGGTAGCTCTCAGCAAAGATGCCGAACGCTGAGTGGCAGAACACTTTTTAGGGCCATCAGTCAACTTTAGTGAAGATGCCGATTGTAGGAATCCTTAACAACTTCACTCAGGAGGCACCAGCAGGTAACCACTACCATATACACAAGATAAGAGTCACACGTGGTCACAGAAAGAAGCAAAGGCTGAGTCTGGGTTTGGGCAGTCAATGGCTCACCAAGGCGAGTGGAATGAGTAGGGCCTACTCCAGGACCGCCTGGCCCACGCATGTCGCTTTACCACAAGGCTGCCCCATCACACTGTGGGAGGGGGCAGGGGAGACAGCCTGGCCTGGATGCCTGCGTGCTCAAGATTCCTAGAATCGGAGCGGCTGTCTGGTGTTGTGGGAACAGAGCACAAATCACACCCAGGTGACCCACCGGTGAGAACCAGCCCCACAAATGGGGTTCGTGCGGCCTGCAGTGTTGGACTCGTCGTGTTTTAGAACATCTGAGAGAGTGCCAACAGTTTTAAACCAGAAGGCATCTCAGTAAAAAAAAAAAAAAAAAAAAAAAGTCTCTGGTTCTCAAAGCAGAAGAGAGAGAGAAAGGACAAGACCTGGCTGGGAACCACCTGCCCCTTCAGCTGTTGTGGCCTTCCAGAGCCCACCCTCTAGACAATCAGACACAAGTCACTGTCAGCTGCCACTTATCTCTGACCCTGTGCCTTCTCCTTCTATCTGGCCCACTTCCTTCACTTACGCTACCTCCCAGCTGTTAGCATCATTTGGATTTGCAACCTTTGCCCTGGCAGGGGTGTGGAAAGGTCCCCTGGGGCTGAGTCTGAGGAAGAGACGACAAGGCCTGTTAGGATGCCAAGCTCTCACAAACCGACCTGAAAATATCAGCTTCTGATATGTTCCTCACTGAACACCTTGCAAAGGTCAGACACAGCCAACGTCCTCCCCTGGCTCTTTCCTAAGGAAGGATCTCAGTAATTACTCAGAATCAGAACTTTTTTCTTAATAACCTATGATGCGCTTATCAGGGAATGCTGATCATTCACAAATTAATGTTTTAATTAAAAGGTCAAAAATATATCCATTAATCAGTTTGAACAGTTTGAGCTTTGGTATAGGGTAGCAGAGGGAACCACATTTCAAAAGAAAGAAAGGAAAAAAAATGTTCTCCAAACAGTAGAATGGGAAAAAAAAATGATTAGACAGCTACTTTACAATAAGTTTCTTCTCATATAAGCATAGTGACCACAAAAGCTTTGAACTATGAGTTAGTACTAAAGATGTCCGTAAGACACACTTTATACAATCTCTTCCAATGACTATCTCCTCTGCTCCTTAAACTACCTCTGGATGGAACAAATTTTCCTAAGGCAAGTCAGTAACAGAAGGACTGGTTACTAGCAACTAAGCAGAATTACCATCACGGTGATCTTACATACGTTCAACAACATATACGAGAAACAATCATCTCACCCAAGCATGTTCGTACGTCCAGAGCAATCACACTGTAACGTAACACCAATTACCTTTCTTATACCACAGAAATGTTTAAATAAAGACAGTCTTGAAGGAGAAAATAAATCACAAAAAGACAAACTTTAAGTGTGCACAGAGGAGCAGGTCCCCACCTCCTTGTTTTAGAGACCAGGAGGTAGACAGTGGTTAGTTAAGGACAGGCTCACCAAAACTGGCTGATTTCCTTCCTACTAGCTGCTTACAAGGCACTGTTCACACTCCCAGGACCATGGAGACCCCCTAAAACCAGGACCCAAGATCCAATCCACCATCCTCTAACTCAACCGTGGCAAAAACCCTGTCTCCACGCTACAGCCCCATGACGCCACACAAAAGGAAGAAGAGTCTGGACGCAAGACAAGCCGTGTGGAAGGCTAGGATGAAGTTCTTTGTAACTTTAAAATAACTTTGCATTAATTTGTTACCAGCTAAACATTTCCCCGTAATGTTGTTTCCCAGCACTGCGATTCACAGAGCTTGAACAAAAAAAAGGAACCCGGGCAGGCTAACCACGTGGGTACAAGTAATCTAGCCCAAGGTGTCCTTGCTCCAGCGCCAACAGCGCTAAGTACACCAAAGAGCGTGCGAACACTCGCAAGGCTGGGCGTTCGAACTGGGCTTTTACTGTCGGAACGAAAACTGTTTGAATTAAAGTAACATTATCCGGTGAGTAGCTACCCACCACAACACCCTTTTTCCATTCACCACCAAGAACGAGTCTGACACGTCACTCGTGCTGTTTAGTTCAATTGCAACATGTGGCTGGGAAAACAGCGCTGCTTTCCCAAGGGCGCTCTTCTGGCCCTGAACTTTCTTCGTGGACAGAACTCCCGAGGTCCAAGGGCGCAGCCGGAATCACTTACCCGGTCCTTCATCCTCCAGCTCTGCGCTAAGGACTTGGAGCCTTCGATTTTCTCACAGTGCCTCTTTTTCATAAAAGCCAAAGGCAGGTTCCAGTCCGTAAGGTCGGCCTCGTCTTCCTCCCCGAGTCCCAGGAGAGGGGACTGCAGCATCTCGGACTCCATCAGCGGGGGAGGGGGAGTCCTTGGCAGTAGGCGCTCGAGAACCTCCAGCCTTAAACACTAGCGTGCACCAGAACTGGTGAAATAGGAACCGGGAGAGGGGCGGTGGGGGGAGAGGGAGCGGGGAGTGTGCGGAGACCCCTGCTCGGGCAGAAAGTCCGGGCCCCTCTAACTCTGCGCGGGAAGGGAGCAGGTGGGAAGCGCAGAGCGGGGAGCGGGGCCGGCCGAGCGGCTCCGCGGACACACACGCCCCCAGATCCGGGCGGTGCGTCCCACGAGGGGCGTCGAGCGGAGCTGTCAAAGGCGCGAGGGACTTCAGGCCTCACGATGACCCTCCTCCCGGCCTCCAACGCCTCCGCCGCTCCGAGGACGGGAAGGCCGCCCGCTTTCGGCGCCGGTTCGCCGACTAGGCTGAGGTCTCCGGCCGAGGGGAAGAGGTTCAGAGCGCGTCGGGGCTCCCGCAGCCACTCTTAGCCCTGCGGGTCCCGCACTCGCCGGAGCTGCTGCACCCTGAGCCAGGACCGGCCCATCGTGCTCGCCCGCAGCCGGCTCCTCGGCCCCGGATCCGCGCGGCCTGGCCGGTGCTGGCCTTCGGCCCCGTGGCTTTCTCCAGCCCGAGAACCGGTCCTGAGAAGAGCGCGACACGGAGGCGCGAAGAAGACAGGCAGTGCGGGCTTATGGGGTCTGGAGAGTTTTGCCCTCTGGTTTGAAGCTACAGTGAAACTCCTCTCATCAGCACATCAAGGAGGACGCCATGTTGCCCACACCCAGCATGCATCGCGATCTACGGCGTGACCAACGGGCCAAACTTCCTCAGAGCGTTCTGGCCGCGCTTCCCGAGATGCGGAAATAGAAATTCCCCCCTTCTTCGTTACTATGGTTACCACAATTCAGCTTTCTAGACTTTATGGCGTTCATTCAATAGATGGGTGATATCAGTCAATCCTACAAATGAAACTATGGCAATTTAATTAATTTTGAAAAAAGCTTTTTATTGTTACATGCTCGAAATTAAAGCAACTGACCCCCCTGTGGTTTCTTCCAGATTTTGAAAAGGCAGCAAAAGCTTCAGAAAAACCACTGACGTTGTTACAAAAGATGGGGGGGTGGTGCGCAGAGTATCCTCCACAGTATCAGGTTTTCTTTTCTTTTCTTTTTCAGGGAATACCCTGGGGGGTGATTAATTTCAGTGATACAGGTTCTTATTGAATTCGTCTTATTTTCCGAGCAGTTTATTCTTCTCTTGATATAGTTTCATGTGCAAACCAGTAAAAGCCACAGGTGCCTATGCATGGAGGCACGCCTCCCGCCTTACTTTATTTTTCACTCAGGAAATATTGCTTTAAAAAAAAAAAGATTTTATTTATTTATTTGAGAGAGAGCGAGAGAGCAGGGGGAGGGGCGGAGGGAGAGAGAGAATCCTGAGCAGACTCCCCTCTGCATGTGGAGCCCAGTGCAGGGCTGGATCCCACGACCCAGAGATTGTGACCTGAGCGGAAACCAAGAGTCAGACCCTCGACTAGCGAGCCACCCAGGCACCCAGGAAACTTCGCTTACTTACAGCGTGTGCAGAACTGTGACCTTCTGCCCTAGCAAGGACCACAGAGCCAACCGCAGTGCCTGCTCCGTGAACACTGTTAGTGAGACTCACACGGACCCGGTTTATAAAGCCGGGCGGGGGCCGAAGAGGCGGGTCTTCCCTTGTGCCTCTGGGCTTTGGTGCCAGGTGCACCTGGCCCCCCATCTTGACTGAATCGCTTTCCATCCCTGTAACCCTGGTCAATTCTCTAGTCCGGCCTCAGTTTCCTCAAATCTAAAACCGGGATGATAATACCCAGCCTGAAGGATGCACATGACAGGTGGACATGCCTAGTCCGGTATGAACGCCGGATCCGATGCTAGCACGATCCTTCCATAGCAGAGGGAAACCTAGCAGCTGTGCTTTGTTAATCTAAAAGCTCAGCTTGGACTCTAGAAGATACCCGGTCTCTCCGTGGTTTCCCAGGTCTTTGACCCAGTGCGGGAGTCCATATCAAAATCCTGATGGCTTTTGTGTTCCTCTCTACCTCGGAATGAAGCGTGCAATCCCAGGTCTTTCTCCCCTAGCGCATAGCAAGTATGCCAAGACTTAATTTCATTTTACATCCGACTGAGCTGGATTCTCCCCTTAAAACTCAGGGCAAATCCACCAAAACACAGATGGAGACTAAAATCTTCCTTTTCCGGGCTCTCAGAGTTGGCCAAATACCCCCACAGGCACCAGAAGGCTTGGGGACTGCAGGGTCTTGGGAAGACCCTAGTCTTACCTCAACAGCTTTAAACCCATTCGTTCCTAACTAGCCTGTGACCTGGGAAAACCCGCTCAGTCTGCGTGAGACTCAATTTCCTCACCTACAAAGTGTGTGTAGCCTTGGGATAGCACTCACCTTGTCTGATATTCTAAATGAAGGTCGTATAGGCGCCTATGGAACCCGAACCTGGCAGGTCGTCGGAATCGCCGGGAAACTATTTAAAAATAAAGAGGGCTGAATCCCAGCCCAGACCCACTGAATCATGGGGAGTGGGAAAGCAGGGGTTCAGGGCCTCTATTTTTTGATCAGGTAACCCTGATGAGAACTTAAAACCAGTCAGATCCGGGGATATTGGAAAACATGTTCTCTAAAGATATTAGGCAACGCTGTCCTCTAATGTTTCCATTCCGGCCACATGGCAGGTCCTCAATCGACATTTGTACCCAGTAAATGTGTATGACGAAGCAGTCACCCAATCGTCCATCTATTAAATCAGAGCAAGACTCGCCCTCTCCTCTGACTCCAGGCCAAAACACACTCTACTCTCTCCTGTTTTACAAATGTGACCCCAGAACCAAGAAGCCATTTGGGGTCCATGTCCTGGACAGAGGGTCCTGACACACACATTTTGGGCCCCAGCCGGGCACCAGTTCCCGCAGACAGTAGCAAAGCCTCTACCTCCTCTGCCCTCAGCCTCCACCTCCGTGGCATGAGGAACTGGAAGAAGGTGAAATCTAGGCTATTTCGGATCCAAAATTCTGTGATTCATGTGAAACCCAGAAAGGGGCTGGCAACAGCCCACTCCCAACCCGAAGGCTCAAGAATGGGCTTGAATCATTTCATAGCATCATGACATTTAAAAGAACCCTCGTTCCAGTGTGTCATGGGTGGTTCTATCCGAGTCCCAAATAAGCATTTGGAGCTGTGGCTCCAGGCTGCTGGAAGGCAAGGAGCGTCTATGACTAATGACAGGCTGGAAATTCAAGGCCTACGATTTCTCACCTGGGTGATCTCATCCCCAGCGTGTGTGACCGGCGGGCCACCAGAGGCTGCCATTCCAATCTCCAAAGCAAGGACATCTCATGCTTTCCACAGAACCTCGACATAAGATGCTTTAATCTTGAAAAGAGTTTTATGAATCTCAAAAAATGCATGAAACCTGGTCTGATTTTCAAGCTATAAAACCGGGGGAGGGTGTCGCTGACATCCTGCGGGTGGTGAACGCCAGGGGAGGAACTGGGAGAGGAGGGGATTGTAGTCCCGGTGCTGATGGGAAACAGCGGAACAACCTGGGAACTGCGTGTACAGGGAGGGGACAGGGCGGAGGGGAGGGAACGTGAAGGTTGACCGGCTGGCCGCTTCCAGCCCTAAAACTTGAGCTCTTTGGCAACCAGAAGCCAAAGACACTGCAAAGTGACCACGAGAACAAATGTAAAAACCCGAATGTGTGAGTCGAATACAACAGAGGTCAAGGGTAAACATAAAAGGGGGGAAATGGGGCAGGGAGAGGGTCTGGATAATTGCCTCAGGGACAGAGCTCGTGGCAGGGGGGAGGACAAAGACGGCTGCGTGACCCCCACCTCACCTTCTCTCAACACACAAGACCAGCTCAGGCCAAGCTCTTGCGTTTGCACGTGGCACGGGCGGAGTGCCTTCCTCCCATATCCCAGCTTCTCCGCTAAATCAATCAAGGGCACGGAATGTGTTTTGTCATCAAGAACCAGGAGCGAGTCTGGAGGTCAAGAAGCGGGGGCCTCGCTGAGCTATACGCTTTCCACGTAGGGAGACCGGCCAGCTCCCATCCCTTCCAGAGAAATCTATGCTTAGCTTAAAAGAAACCAAAATAGACCTGAAGCACTTTGCTTTTGTCTGAGCATCATTACTCTGTTTTTAGCAAGATCCAAGCCACCCCCCTCGGCAGGTCAGATGTTGTGTTGACAGCGAAGTGAGAAGAGAGAACTAACGGGAAGTGACGGGCCCCAGCATCTCCGTCGGAAACGCAAGGTTGCAAAACACCGAGTGCGCCTGTCTCCCTGCCTGCCCGTTTCTCCCGTCTAAAAATACGCCGATCTTTATGTATGTGATTTTCATCCCTACAATATACCTGTTTTTCTTTCTTATTTTTTTCCTACCCCAAGTGGGTATGGTTTTGATAAGCAGAAACAATGTTACTCCATTTAAAAAAGGAGGTGACCCCCGAGGGGTCTGGGGACTGGGGCAAAAAGTGCTTCTTACTGAACAAAGGGCAGCGGCTCCCTGCGTTTCTGCTTCCAGAGCTTCGAGACTGCATCGCAGCCACCGCCTTCAAGATCCGGCCTGAAGACGGCACTGGGGAGGAGAGGCACAAAGACCAGGAAACACAAGTGGATCCTGGACAGAAATGTGACCTTCACCCCCAGCACATTCCTTCTCGCTCTGGGGGCTGTTTTGTGGAGGGCAGTGAAGAGCCTGTCTGGGGGGACCTTGAATTTGAAGCAAGGTGGGGCACAAAGGAGCAGGAAGCCAGTGTGGCCCGGGCCCCGTCCCCCCTGGGCCTGGCTTCCCGCATGGACCCCCCTGGCCAGGCAGTCAGGAGAGCCTCGTGCACCCAGCTCCAAGCCTTTACTGGGTCAGACAACGCTGTCCTTGGCTCTCAGGAATTCTTCACACAGAAGGGATGAAGTCCGGCTCTTTCCCAGCTCCCAAGGTCCATTCACGGGAGCACCGTCCTTCCTCATCAGGGCCCT